TGAAGGACCTCTTTGGTTTTCAGATACGTAATTAATTCATCACCAAGATCAAGTTAAGATTATCGTGTTTTACATTTTCAAATTTATAGATGATGTAGGTTCAAGAGAGGTGGTTTCGTGTAATATATAAATAATGTTTTATAATCTGCATTCAGTACAAGGATTTCCTTAGAGGACATATGTTGGAGATTGTTGATTTTCCCTTCAAATGTATTTACGTATCAAGTAATCATTTAGCTATACATTATAAAAGACGATTATTCTCTGTGTATATTGCGCTACTGAAACAAGAGCATTATTATTCATTACATTATTTTGTTTTCATTTTCGTGAAATGTGTAGCTGAGATATTATTAAGTTTCCATCTTGTCTGGTATTGTTATGGCTATTTGCAAAGCTGCACTTAAGAATGCATCTTGGTTTTTATTCATGATCGGGAAATGTGAAATCATGTCCTCCTCCTAAGAAAATTTACATGTGTCGAGGACTGCATTCAAAAACCGTTACAGTAGGTTATTCCTTATACATTTGTAAAAAATCAATATTATTCATGAATTTGTCATTCCTGCACCACTCGGGTCCTCTCTGATTATTCTGCTACCTATATAATGCCTTGGGCGACACCAGATGGGAGATACTGCGCGGGTTTCTGTGAAACGTGTAACGCCAGATCCTGGTGCATATATACACGACATCCATTTATTCTATTCATAACAGAAATAAGGTGTACACTGTAACTTGAAGACAAAAGCAAACGGAAATAATTTGAATTGTCATGTATAGCGGCTGCCGCAAGGTTATGTCACATGACGTCACGTCCACGCAACTAGTTCCAGTGTTGATCCATGCCAGTGCTGGCTGGGTTTGCTCTGGTGTAAAACGAGTGACCCTGTCCAAGATATAGTCTGTCATGTGCATGTCCGTATCATAGAGTACCATAACTGACGCCTTTGGTTGGCATGGATTCACGTCCATCCGGATGTCCTCTTTCCTCTTTAGAATGTGTTTCCACTTTCAATGTACTGTCGATTATTCACGAGTAGTTAGGATATATTCTTTTCTTCACAAGAGAAAACTTTTTGGTACACAACATCCGCAAAATACAAGAACTGTTCGAACGTCGATGTAGTAAAATATGTTCGATGATAGTTACTAGGCAGTTATATACCTGCTGATGTTTACACAAGAAAATATGGTCTGTCATGTAAATTTTCGGTCTAAGTAGGGCAAGCAAATGGAGATTACTTCAAACTGGTCTAAAAGTTGGCCAAAGGACATTCTTGAGCTCAATATGACGAACAAGGTATCTTATGATTTCGGAAAATCACAAAATATTAATCCTATTAGCCAATATTGTGCTCTTTCTCGTGCAAGACTGAAAAATATAACGTGACCAAAATATATTTGTCCTTTGGTATGTGCTGAAAGTGTCAATATATTCCTTCTGGGTCTTATACATTTTCAGCAATCTGGATCACCTGACTACCTCGCAAGTAAAGTATGAATTATCTTAGAGAGTCTAAAACGTATATGCGCCGTGTATGTGTTCAATCCTCTGCAATTGAGGGAAACTATACATAATTTACCTATGATGTTTTACTTAATAAGGATAAGATATATGGATGAACAACTTCTTTATTACAATTAATTTATGATTACAATTGTAATAAAGAAGTTGTTTATCCATATATCTTATCTTAAGCTGTTCATCCATATATCTTATCCTTACTTATTTTTCCAACATCTTATTGCCTCTGAAAGAATATGCTTTACTTTATCAAACATAATGATGCCTTTTAAGCTATATAATGCACCTGCATCTCCCAATGTGTCTTCTGAAAGGGAAGTTGGTTTGGGTGTATCAAATGCGTTAACATTTGTTATAGATGGGTATTGTTAAACGTCAGGCGCAACGTTCTATAACGTCGGGTGAAACGGCCATATTTACCGTCGAACACACAATCTATATTTCCTATGGAGACATTCATGTATACCACCTCACTGTGTCAACATGTTTGTGAAAAGAAGCATTAATAGCATCAAGCTTTTGGTTATAGTAACGCTAACACCAACTTCATAAAAGGTTAATCTCCATGAAAACATCATGATTTACATAATTATGTCAATGATGGTTTTAAAAATGGGAAGAAAAAAACATTCGCAATTACATATTTCACATGCAGTGACATTTCCCTCGTTAATATTGCACAAATTGATGTGTATACTGTATGTTCTTCCATCACACGTGAATGCGTACAATATGCGGCGTTGAAGTGAGGCGTGCCTAGTTTAAAGTCAAGAAATGAAACGAGAACGTGGGTCTTTGATGAAGTCAAACGAGCCTTGTCGCATGACACTGATGCAATGTAGAGAGCGGATGGCTGAGAGGTTGTGGCACGTGTTGCACGAGAAGTTTGGCCGGTTATACGATGTAACCTGAGCACTCATTGGTCAGAGCACTTCTCCCTCGCTGGAACCAGGCCGAGGCTTGATAAATTGGTTAAAAATAGCAGCTTCACTTCAAATTGGTTGTATGTATTCACTGGTGATGGACGGACGTGTATACAAACCCGTGAAGTACTGACGAAGCGAAATTGGACTTAGAGAAGCGTTACGAAGCAAATGACCCTCGGATGCATTTGAGCAGTTTATTACTGTTTGGAACATTTTGTCTCAAAGTAAAGGATAGACATTTCTGTTCGACGTACTTTCCTGGCTTCGTAACGACAACATCGTTGTACAGTCCAATTTATGACGTCATAACTCGACAAAAAGTTGATTACTGCTACTGTGGAAAATGAGTATTGTCTATCAAACAATAGTATAGTCTCGATTTTTTTACCGTTATGACGTATGGTCGCTTGTCTATCACTGGTATGGTTCTGTATCCATCCTTATGATATGAGGTCATATGTCCACATTTCGACGTTTCACGTCACACCTGACCATCGTGACGTTTCGTCACGTACATGCATTGTGACGTGCGGCCACGTCCTTACCATTGTGACGTATTTTCAACTATGTAGTCTGGTGAATGTTGGTAGCTCAGACTCGTGGGTATTGCATATAATCTACATATACGTTGCCATGACTGTCTATGTGTCTAGGTGTGATGTGTGATCGGTAGTCTATGTTATGATATCTTTAGCCTTAAGGTTAACAATTTTGTGCATACATATCGCCTTCAGAATCGTTCGAACCTCCATATATGTTTATGAACGCTGCGAAATGATCAAAGCATGTTATAATGAGATATATATTTAATGTTGATAATCCTCTGTTTGTTTTTCTGTGATTTGACAAATATCCTACAATATTTGTATTTTATTGTGAATTCTTAATTTTTTATTATTAAAGCGAACAAAGATCGTCCAGTGATCAAAATCGACGTTATTTCTTGATGTGCAGAGTTACGTCCCTTAGGTGTGCCAGAAACCTGTGATATTGGGTTCGAATACCAGATTTAAGATTCTTTGTTTGCCAGGGCCTTACACGTGTTCGTGGGTTTTGTGGGAAACCGTCTGTATCACTTCAGGCTTTTCCTCCACAACAAACTGACTATAACTGAAATAATGGTCAAATCGACGTTAAACCCAACTCACTAACTCACTTTTCCTTAGAGCCGACACAGTTACTTCTGTTTATTCCTCGTCCATGTTCGTGACATTCCCTAACAGTTCGAGAAAACTCGTCACTTCTCGTATCTTTCCGTAACACAGTCACGGAAATACACGAGAGGTCACGAGTGAGCACGGGAACAAAATACAAAACAATTTTTTGTCGCAGTCAAGGCAAGTTTACTGATATCGAATGAACATTACAGCTCGTAACTCTATTGGTGTTCAATTTGTTCAAGGTGATTTCGAAAAATTATATATGATAATATATAAGATCTGACGACATAAAAACGGTCTTTTTAATGGGAAAATGAGGAGTGCTGTTTGCATGAGTTTACTGAATGTTCGAATTTGGAAATTAATGGTTGGCTTTGATGAGCAGATTCTTCCTTGAATATACTCAGACCATACTTGTCACTGTCAAAAGTCTTTAATAACAGATAATGGAGATATTCTGTAAACTGCGTTTAAGCGGACAAGTGTGAGGTAAAAAAATTGATTCTTTGTACACAGCATTCTTCATAAAAAATAGCTAATACGTAAATGTACGTGCCCAAATGTTACTGTAGGCGTCAGATGAGTATAAATTTCCAATGTACACTTTTACACAATGTATATGTACATGACTTTTCTTGCTTTTAGTTTTGAATTTGTAACAGTGAAACATGTTATTTGACCATATGATTTTTTCTGTCTGGCATAACAATGGTATTTCGGAACGTTCAGTATGTGAAATCACTGGTAGTCTTTGCCCACCTTTGGATTTGAAAAAAAGAATATACAAATCCTTTCAGAGAAAGAATTATTTCGTATGCAGGATTATAGTTATTAATACTGTAGTAATAATTTGCTGTAATTCATGTTAGCGATCACTGTAATAATCAAAACGTATTCTCTTGTATCTACTCTGCATTGTACGCGAAAAGATATTTCTATAGTTAGGGTATTTCTGGTGAACATTTATTTAGTATTGCCATTAACCAAACTTTTTTTATACTTATGTACTAAATGTTTATTTTTAAAGTGTTCATTTTGTTTGTTTTGGCATGTTGAATTCCCGATTATCCAGTGTGTTATGTCTCAGTTGTATTATGATACGCTCCCTGGGCACTTCTCCTGGGAATATTCGGTTCGGAGGTTATGCCACCATCAAACATTTCCCTCGCTTGTGTGTGTACTTTGATTGGACGGTTATTTTTAGCGTCGTGTATTTCACATCGGTAGAGAGCGTCCAGGGTATTTATCCTATTAGAATGGAGATTTAATACGCTGGATAATCGAGGATGAACACGTTGCTATTGAAATGTGTAATCTATGCATGGAGTGCTGCGTTGTTTGTATAAAGTACAACGTTGAAGTTATTAATAAATTGTTGTTTAAGAACGAGTGCCTTTATTCCATTTTTACTCAGCTACAAGAAACGCACATAGCATTACACACATGTTTGTATGACACAAACCATTAATCGTTGTTATGAACGGTGAGATGTGCATTCCAAACAGATGAGGCACCCGGTACCCGATGCACCTTATCATGGAACGGAGTTGACTCTAAACGCTTATACTAGGGGCCTGCTTTGTCGTAACGCCCACATGAAAATTGTCTGATGTGAGTGGGTGTGTTGTTGGGGTATTTGAGTGAGTTTGTGTGTGAGCTGGGGGAAAGGGGGGGGGGGGGGGGGGGGGGGAGGGGTTAAACGAGTATGTGGGTGTTCTGGTGAGTGAGTGAGTGAGTGAGTGAGTGAGTGCGTGAGGACAGCGTAGACCACCAGTAAATCATGTTTGACCCCCACTGGAATTCCGGGGCAGGGGAGGCTCAGATGTCCCCTATCGATGAAAATTGTCCATCATGTGGATGTCGGCACAGACATGGATCCTCAACTTGCATTTATCGTCCCTCTTTGGAATTCGGGGCCAATTAGGTTTTCTTTACTCTATGATGGCCGCCGTTCGTACTCCGGGGCCGAAAAGGTCTTCATTTGTCCATGAAGGTCCCCAATGGAATTCCGGGGTCGAGTAGGTTTTCATTTGTCCATGATGGCCCCCGTTGGTACTCCAGGGCGGATTAGGCTCCTAGTAGGCTGACCTCCAAGAAATGTAAATAATGATCACTGCCTTCCTTGGTTGTCTGATGCCCCCCCCCCCCCCCCCCCCCCCACACACACACACACACACACTCATTCGCTCACACTCTCACCCACACTTCCACTCACTCACTCTGAACTTAACTATTTAGAGATAAAATATACTAGTATATACACATAAAAAACATCAAAAAATGTTTCTCCAAACCTGATGACTTCCTTAAAATTCCACCTCCATAGAAGCTACACACATGTAGTCTCCCACACAACCTATTCCAGAACAAACTTACGGGCGTCTGTGTTAGTAGGTGCCAAGCCTGACTCATTGATATTGGACTAGTTTGGGGACTGTCTGGCAGTTGATCGTCACACGTTACAAGATGTAATAATGTTCCAACCAGACTAGACAACAGCAATTTACGTTATGAAGATCGCGATATATTAATACGTTTACCGTTATTTAATAACTAGTCTGTACCAGCTTGCCCACCACCGGGGCGCTAATTGATCCAGAATAAGTCCCCACAAATACCGATAAGGCACTATGTGGGGAAACACATTCTTTTTATGACTTGTGATAAATAGACTCGGCGTAAGCCCCACGCTGACGTTTATTGAGCGAGAACGTTGAATCATCTGATGGAGTAGGTTATGACGGGATCCATCCAACTCTCGTCCTTTGTGATGGAACAAGATCATTGACACTAAACCCAATTCACAACTAAGCGTCCCCCTGGGTGCAATATCAATATACAAATATAAGACGCTGGTTTATTGTCGATGTCTTTATGTCCGACCTTATAGCCGCTGTGTGAAGGACACAATCGTCGGTATGTTTTAGAATAAAACGCTTGTTGAGGTTATTGGTCTTCATTAGGAATCCAGTTTGTATTCCCCATGTTCTCCCTTTCTCTGTTTCCCACTTTCTCTCTTTCTGTGTTTCTCGCTTCTCTCTTTCTGTATTTCCCGCTTCTCTTTCTGTATCTTTCGCTTCTCTCTATCTGTATTTCAAACTTTCTTTCTTTCTGTATTTCACGCTTCTTACTTTCTCTTTTTCACGCTTCTCTCTTCCTCTGTTTCCCGCTTCTCTCGCTGTATTTCTCATTTTTTTCTTTCTATATTTCCCGGTTCTTACTTTCTGTATTTCCCACTTTCTTTCTTTCTATATTTCCCGCTTCTCCCTTCTGTATTTCCCGCTTCTCACGTTCCGTATTTCCCGCTTCTCTCGTTCTGTGTTTCCCGCTTCACTCTTTCTGTATTTCCCACTTTCTTTCTTTCTGTATTCCCGCTTCTCTCTTCTGTATTTCCCGCTTCTCTATTTCTGTATTTTCCGCTTTTCTCTTTCATAATTTTCCGCTTCTCTCTTTCTGTATCTTTCGCTTCTCTCTAACTGTATTTCCCGATTTCTTTCTTTCTGTATTTCCTGTTTCTCTCTTTCTGTATTTCCCACTATCCCTCTGTCTGTACTTCCCAATTGTTTCTTTCTGTATTTGACGCTTTTCTCTATCTGTATTTTCTGCTTCTTTCGTTCTGACTACTGTCCTTGCTGGATATAATGCTCCTGGATATAATGCCACCCAGGTTTTAATGCCATGTGTTTGTCAAAATGGATTCCTCTCTTTCTGTTTATTTACTCTTTCTAGCCTTTTGTCTATGTGTATGGATATATGTCTACTCTCTCACACATACACACGCACGCACGCACGCTCTCTCTATCTCTCTCTCTCTTTCTCTCTTGACGGTGCAAAGAACTGTCTGTGTTCAAGTGACGGTGCAAAGAACTGTCTGTGTTCCAGTGACGGTGCACAGAACTGTCTGTGTTCCAGTGACGGTGCAAAGAACTGTCTGTGTTCCAGTGACGGTGCAGAGAACTGTCTGTGTTCAAGTGACGATGTAAAGAACTGGCTGTGTACCAGTGACGGTGTAAAGAACTGTCTGTGTTCCAGTGACGGTGCAAAGAACTGTCTGTGCTCCAATGACGCTTTAAAGAACTGCCTGTGCTCCAGTGACGCTGTAAAGAACTGTCTGTTCCAGTGACGGTGTAAAGAACTGTCTGTGCTCCAATGACGCTATAAAGAAATGCCTGTGCTCCAGTGACGCTGTAAAGAACTGTCTGTTCCAGTGACGGTGCAAAGAACTGTCTGTGTTCCAGTGACGGTGCAAAGAACCGTCTGGGCTCCAATGACGCTATAAAGAACTGCCCGTGCTCCAGTGACGCTGTAAAGAACTGTCTGTGTTCCAGTGACGGTGTAAAGAACTGTCTGTGCTCCAATGACGCAATAAAGAACTACCTGTGCTCCAGTGACGCTGTAAAGAACTGTCTGTTCCAGTGACGGTGTAAAGAACTGTCTGTGCTCCAATGACGCTATAAAGAACTGCCTGTGCTCCAGTGACGCTGTAAAGAACTGTCTGTTCCAGTGACGGTGTAAAGAACTGACTGTGTTCCAGTGACGGTGTAAAGAACTGGCTGTGTTCCCAGTGACGCTGCAAAGAACTGTCCGTGTTCCAGTGACGGTGTAAAGAACTGTCTGTGTTCCAGTGACGGTGTAAAGAACCGGCTGTGTACCAGTGACGGTGCACAGAACTGTCTGTATTCCAGTGACGGTGCATAGAACTGTCTGTGTTCCAGTGACGGTGCAGAGAACTGGCTGTGTACCAGTGACGTTGCAAAGAACTGTCTGTGTTCCAGTGACGGTGTAAAGAACTGGCTGTGTTCCAGTGACGGTGTAAAGAACTGTCTGTGTTCCAGTGACGGTGTAAAGAACTGTCTGAATTACAGTGACGGTGTAAAGAACTGTCTGTGTACCAGTGACGGTGTAAAGAACTGTCTGTATTCCAGTGACGGTGTAAAGAACTGTATGTGTTGCATTGACGGTGTAAAGAACTGTCTGTGTTCCAGTGACGGTGTAAAGAGCTGTCTGTATTCCAGTGACGCTGTAAAGAACTGTCTGTATTCCAGTGACGGTGTAAAGAACTGTCTGTGTACCAGTGACGGTGTAAAGAACTGTCTGAATTCCAGTGACGGTGTAAAGAACTGTCTGAATTCCAGTGACGGTGTAAAGAACTGTCTGTGTACCAGTGACGGTGTAAAGAACTGTCTGTATTCCAGTGACGGTGTAAAGAACTGTATGTGTTGCATTGACGGTGTAAAGAACTGTCTGTGTTCCAGTGACGGTGTAAAGAACTGGCTGTGTTCCAGTGACGGTGTAAAGAACTGGCTGTGTTCCAGTGACGGTGTAAAGAACTGGCTGTGTTCCAGTGACGGTGTAAAGAACTGTCTGTGTTCCAGTGACGGTGCAAAGAACTGGCTCTGTACCATCGACGATGCAAAGAACTGGCTGTTTTCCAGTGACGGTGTAAAGAACTGGCTGTGTTCCAATGATGGTGAACGTGTATAACTGGTAGCGGAGACTGAGATCGATCCCAGCTGTAGCACGTTTTAATGCTTGTCCAATGAACAATGTGTGATACCAATATTGAACCACGCACGTTAACACACTTCCCCTTTCAATAGAAAGGCTCAAAGTAAAGTGGAAACACAAACAACCACTTAGACAATTACTTTGAACTAAATGTTTGAAATGTCACATAAATTTCACGAAAATGACGTAAAGCATCGACCGCTGAATACACAAGCGTTAGAAATATTCTAAATTGATAGAACAATATCAGGACACGACTATTCCTTTTACCAACTCAGTATCAAAATCATGACAGCTGTTACTAGTACCTAAAGTTATAGTTGATCGAGTGAGTTGGTGGGTGGGTGGGTGGCTATAACATGTTTTTGAGTGAGTGAGTGAGTGAGTGAGTCAGTCAGTCAGTCAGTCAGTCAGTGAGTGAGTGAGTGAGTGAGTGAGTGAGTGAGTGAGTCAGTCAGTCAGTCAGTCAGTCAGTCAGTCAGTCAGTCAGTCAGTCAGTCAGTGTGTGAGTGAGTGAGTGAGTGAGTGAGTCAGTCAGTCAGTCAGTGAGTGAGTGAGTGAGTGAGTGAGTGAGTCAGTCAGTCAGTCAGTCAGTCAGTGTGTGAGTGTGTGAGTGTGTGAGTGAGTGAGTGAGTGTGTGAGTGAGTGAGTGAGTGAGGAACATGTTTATTGTAATGAAACAATGTGTTGTGGCTCAACTATCATTGTTTGGCATCGTTAAGAAACATTTAAATGTCTTGAAGTGCTGTATTTCAGTCAGTGCTTTTCAGGTCACACGCTAACTAACAGATGCATTCCAGACTTCACCCACAGTCGAGATCATTTCCAAGCATTTCAGTCCCCCCTCGTCCACAAATCAATGTTGGTCTTGCAACTAT